TGTTCCTATGATGAATTCTTGCCTGTGCATACGATCAGCCGGATGTTTGCATTGGTATTGATAAGTCGCGGGTTTAACACTTGGGACATTGACCATCCATAACAGGCTTCTAGCTTAGCCGGATGGCATTACACTCGCATTAAATCGAACGGTCCTCCTCACGCCTGGCTGATAGGGGGATAGAGGGCCTCTACAGTCGGACTAAAAATACATCCGTTGGAGCACCTCTATACACACTCGAAAGTACTCTAAACCGGGGTTCAGACAGCGGTGCAATCGGCCATGAAGCCTTGTTCGTAGACGAGTAGATCCAGGTATTCTGGTAGGTACCTAATATTGAGCTTTAAATACAACATGCAGCTCTGAAACATTTCCTTTCTGATCCTCGTCCCAGCCAAATTGTCCCAGCCCATTGTCCCGTCCCAGCCAAACAGCACAAATGGTGACATTTTTAAAACGATTATCCTTTTACTTACGTTGGACCTTGCGGTGCTGCTCGTTGAAAGAGTAATTGTTGAACTTATTATTGATATATTGCTCGTCTCGCGATCGAATTGAACAATGAGCGGATATATTTCGCAAAGGATGACGTTTCCATTAAAGCAGTGAGGGTGAACAAAAAATGTTATTTATACGAGCGTTTCGCTGTATCAATGTGTCTAATAAGACATTTCGTGGCCTGACAGTGAAATATGCGGTCGTGCGGTCACATTTCAGAGGTCCCGTCACCGACACGATTCTCACGGAGTTGTCCGTCACTTTCGTCAGCCGTTCCAGCTGATTGCCGCGGCCCTGACCATCGCCCGAAGCAATGACGTCACACAGCGGGGGGAGGGGGCTTGTCTGCGAGTCTGGGTCTGTAGTTGTGGTCTGGATTTGGATCTTCCAAGGGGCTGAGCTGGTGTATATTGTGTTGATTTCTACTCGCCTGACTGTTCGGAATAACTACCGGCAAAATTATATTTAGTACGTATATAAATACGCGTCAAGCTAAATACCTACAGGGTGTCCCAGAATTACCCGGACATTGTTAATTAGCGTATAAAATAAGGCAAACATGATTGCGCCTTTTTCTTTTTATCGTCCTATATAGTCAACTAGGGTGGCTGTGAAATAGCACATGCAATAGATACGCTTGTTACAAGATCAGCCGCCAATGATTGAAAATGCCAGCCATTGCTGGTCTCAGTTGTTTTACGGTTCTCCCGAAACTGGGTGAAGGTCTGTTTTCTTTGACCTGTTGCCGGAGGATAATACGATCATATAAGATAAACTTAACATCAAAGTGTTCCCAGGTCATAAGGCATTATCCCCCAAAACAAAAATTGCTGCCTACACCACTTTTGCCGCGTTTTTTACATCTGAAGTGGAGAAGCTCCATGTCTGAACATGGCGGGACCTTTGGCTTCCAACAGATTTGGTTTCCAAAACAAACCCGTTCATGGCCATTTGGTTTACGGCATCCAGTTTTTTTACTGGTCTGGTAGAATATTACCGCAGTAGTACTCTGTGCTAACGGCTGTCGTTGGGCCATCATATCAAGCCGAATGAGTGCACGGTGGCTCAAAATGTCTCACAATTTGATTTTCGACGGGTGCCTGGCCGTCACTGCTGTTGGGGCGTTGTAGCCATCTGACGTCCACACACGCCTTTTTCAGGCGGTTCAAATGACTGAATACCTTCGTTAGACCACAAAGTGTGCTTCAATATAATTTTTTGTTGTATATGTTATATTTTTTTGGGATGAATTGTAGTGATTTTCGCTGCTTTTCCCGTAGTTTTCGCATATTTTTCAGGCGAGGGACCCCAAATTCCAAAATTTTGCGAAGATAGTGGTGGAAAGTAGACTGATGTTCTTTAGTTAATCCTGATCTATCGTTTAGCTAGTTCTTAGCTAGATCAGTGACGTTTGTTGTCCATGACAAGCAACCACCCGTTTGACAACTGGTGTATGGCCCTTTTTGGCCGAGCCCAAGCTTGTCAATCAGGTCTATCTCTTGCTCTCTCTGGCTTTGTTAGCTGATATAATTGCGCTTTGCTCAATCCTAACTGCTTGCAGATGAGCTGCTGAAGCTCTCCAGCAAAAACCATGCCGAAAGTCCGTTTACAAAGTTGAAAACGGGAGTTGTTTCACCATGGTTGCCTATTAGTGGCTTAAGCTGAAAACGGAAAAGGACTACTCTTACTTGACTCTGGATAATAATTGACTCGAGTCGTTACCGGTCACCAAAAGCACACAGTCCCCAAGCTCGATAGCTAAGGGATATCTTATAAAAGTATGATGCTTGTATATCATCAGAATCGAGCGCAATCGCACTTTTAGCCAGAAAATAAATGTCCGGGTAATTCTGGGACACCCTGTATAATTATTTCTCACTAAAGTTTTGCTTAAAGCTAACTCAGCAGAGGAATGGAGATAGAGAGAAGGAAGAGAGGCGCAGGCCAGGAACGGAAGAAACTGCCGATAGCGTGGCGACGCTGGGTAGAAAACCCCACGACCCACGCCGGGGCCAATCCAGCACGGACTGTCCAGTCCCGGCCCGCCCGCGGTGCCAGGGTGGTCGCACCGGAACAGAATCGTCCTGATACAAACACAGGGTTATGGAATTGCCAGACATGTGCATAACTCTGAGAAAATGGATCGGGGATCTGACCCCACCGATATTGATCAAAGATCCTTTTACGATCGTCTGTGCACATTTTTTACGGCCAAATAGTGCACATAGTGCACACAGTTCAATAATAGTGCAACCAATTTTGACAGTTCGCAACAGACAGACTATGCCGACAGTCGAAATCGTTTACACTATGCCTGAAATGTGTGCACTGCCGCCTAAATTGGACGTAAAAAGGTGTAGTTCGTAATAGCAGCTGCATTCGGGGGCGGCGAGCACCTGTGCCTTCACATGAACGCGATGGCCCACGCTCAGCTGGCACACTTGTATGTAAGTTGTAACCACTAGCCCACAGTTCCGTGTATGTGTGGTGTAGCTTGTAAGTACAACCGTTCCGATTAACCCATCGGCCCTTGCGTGCAGTGGTGGACGGCCATGGGTCGGGCAGTCGGCTCATCGCTGCTGCGGCGGGTAGTTTTCCTGGCAGGGAGCTCGCGCCCACTGCGAACCCTCATTGTCTTCGAAAATGTACTGGGCATGAGTCATTGCTTGTGGACCGCCATAAAAGTTCGAATGGTCTGTGGCATCGGACCGCTGTCTTGAAGTGTCTGCAAACTCAACTGCAAGACTCCCGAGGGAGGCAAACAGCACTAGACCTGATTGTATTGTACTTGAAACTGGGCGAAGGGCCCGTGGTCTTATCTGCCTCTCGTGCGTTGTGGCTGATTGTCATTATAATGGAACTGCTATCTGGTCATTTTCCCCGGTAACTGTCGCGTGGTTGCCACCAACAAAGACGGTTCAATTGGGGCCGGTGAGTGCATGCCCTCGCCATGTAACTACCCCTGGCTGAGCTGTCAGCTGTGCAGCGGGCCTGGGTGCTCCGTTTTCCTGTTCATCTGCGGCCCAGCTGGTCTCCTATGGGCTGCAGAGTCACGCAGTCCGGCCGTCCCAGCCTTGGGTCACCCCGTCACCACTTGAGCTGGTTACTGGGCCGTCTGCCCCCCCCCCTCACCGCCGCCCCGCCCCGCCTGGCGGTCGCCCGCTTCCGACTCAGACGGGTAAAGATCGCCTAAAAACTACCTCCTTGCAGCTGCAGCCCAGCTACCGCCCCAGATAACACCTGAGCCCTGAATACGATTGGCTAATGTAGGTAAGACGGTCTGCTGCAGTAGTCCGTGCTCCATATAGTCTGGGTGATGAGGCCTCAGCTCATCCAGACGTAGGTAGGTCCTATATGCTGTGAGGGCATCTGTGGTCTATGTTGCGATAGTTAATTAATAGGAAGCTACTATTGAACTTTTGCACATACATAAATTGCACCGATTAAAAGCGCTGTTCGAAGGGGCTTCGACCGACAGGTCGGGGGCCTTGCACTCATTGCACTCACATGAACATTGAACAGCGGCCAATTTACTCAATATCGTGTCAACTCGGCTGTATGGGAGCTGTTTCACCAGCATTAGGTATGCATTGGTTAGGCAATGCCACCGGCCGGTCGATGTTCGCCTTTATTTCCGCAGTTTTGCGTTATTAATTAAAGCACACAGACATTAGACGGGCTTAGCGCCTTAGCAATACTCGATGCATTTGTATGCCAGCCCAAACGTTCATAGCAAGGCTATATAAGCCGTTCATAGTGTTGAGCTGCTGGCCAATGCATCGACCGAAACGGTATACCTATCGCGACGTGCGGTTTTTCCCGGACTGGTGACGTCATAAGGGTTTGTCCGGGTCGGGGAGTTCGGCTGGAACTGGGACTGCCGCCCGGCTATAGGCTACTGTTCTATGTGCTTCGGAGTTATCCCTCACTGCAATGAGTTGGACGGACCTGCCCGGCCATGAACGCACAACAAATAAGAGCTTTGAGTGACCTCGCATATATAGGTACAGGTCTCGCGAGATTAAACGGTAGGTTTTGCACTTTTACATTTCCGGTTATATCTCAGAAACTAATCGATCTACGATGAAGCCATTTTACACGATCATGGCCGGCTTGTTACCCAACAAGTCGATCGCATCTTCAACACTTAAAAGCTTAAGACGACGAAGATATAGCCTGAAGTACACTAAATTTTCTAGGTGCAAAACCTACCGCTAAAACCCGCGAGACCTGTACCTATCTCTAAATCGGTTGGTTTTGCCTTCCCAGGACCGTAGATATTTATTTTGTCATTGCATCCACTCACAGTTTGTGTGTTATCGCACGTACTCGGTCATCTGCTGACTGCAGCCGACTGACGATCGGGTGTGCAGCGCCGGCACCTCAGAGCCCCGGCGCGTGTTTAGATGTCAGCGTGATGACAGCCCGACCTCGACCCTCTCAGCCCTCTCTTCCCTCTGGTGACCGCCCGAGTAACAGAGCTTCCCCATTTCTGCCGCCAGATGTCAGCCGCTTCCTGGACGCCTCGCTCTCTGCTGACGGCTGGGGAAGCAGCTGCGAGGCTCGATGCCGCTACCAGCTGCAGCAGCTGCGCACACAGCTGCAGCTGCTGGTGGTGCGGTACCCAATCCTCGGCCCAGCCGGGACGGGAGCCGATGACGCCACGTACGACGACACAGCGTCGGCCGACCTGGAGTATGATGACGCCGGCGGCCAGGGCGAGACGATCCAGGAGGCCTACTATGACGACACGGGCGGGGGCGACGGAGGAGACACGTACGATCTGCCTTCCGAGGCGCAGGAGGAGTATGATGAGCTGGGTCCGGCGGCCGTACCTGCGGCTCAGGACTCGGCAGAGCGTGCAGAGGCTTACCTGCCCATGGGCGGCAAGGCGGCCAGGATGCTCGGACTTCCCGAAGGTAGGGTGCTAGCGGTGCTAGCTGTACCGGCGTTTTATTTCAAGAACAATGTTTTTGCATCCGCGCGCCTCATGTATCCTCTCATAGGTAATAATTGATGGTATGTTATGTAACTTTCATTCGTTCATTTATTTTAAGTGTACGAGTACATTTAACCTGCTTGTTTGCATCTGTGTCGTCAAACTTCCCTACTCCTCGATATGCGCAAAATATCCCGTTAAAAGTCTAACCGAAAAAGATATGTTAGTAAAGCCAAGCATGCTGGGTATCCAGCTCGATATCTACTAGCCCAGGCCCATTGCACCACCCCGCCGTTCAGTTGCCGCTGAGAGGTTGGCACAGGACCACACCGCCCGCTTCCTCCCCTGCCGTCTTCCTGCTATCTGAGTGTTTGCGGTTAGCTGCAGTCCGAGTCGATAACATCCGCATCCGTCGGCGGCCGGGCTGACCTCAGTCTGATAACCACCGGACATCACCGCAAGGGCGCTGGGACTTGGGAGGCTAGGCCGCTGGGGTGGCGAGGTTTAGGTACCTGCTGCTACAACCGCCGATACTGCACAAGTCACGCAACATCAGATAGGCATACCTGAAACCGTCTGAGATCATATCCCAGCCCCTGTCAGTCTGTTCCCATGGCTCTCAGCAGACCATATTTGCTCTACCCGTGGGTAGCTCCACCATCTGACGCCTCTGTTGTTCCGCAGGTCAGCCGGCCCCGTCCGTGTCGCTCGAGGCCCCGGCTCCGGACCCGGAGGTGGTCTCCATCCAGTCCCAGACGTCACAGGAGTCGTCTGCTGCCGAGCAGGTGCCGGCCGCCCGAGTGAGCTCCTCCGCTCGCCGCTGGGGCCGTCTCCAGCTGCGACAGGAGGCGAAACTGTGGCTCTCCTCCAACTACAAGGCCTTCTGGGCCGGCCTGACCGAAGGCTGGCTGTATCTGTACCGGAACGAGACGGACGCGGCGCAGAAGCGCTCCATCTGTCTCAGTGGATATGAGGTGCGCCAGCCGCCGCCAGGGGCGGAAGTTGACGCTAAAAAGCGCCCCTTGTGTTTCGAGTTGGTGAAGCCGGGAGGGAAGACACATCAGCTGTTGGCGTTGACACCGAAGGATGCCCGCCAGTGGATGGCAGCACTGGAACTCGAGGGAGTTCGTGCGGGTAAGAGCGAGCGGGAGCCGGCGGCGGAGCCCGCACAGCGGTTAGCGCCGCCCGCACCCGGACCGGACCCAATGCTGTCGGCTGCGGCCGTCTCGGCGGCTGCGGCTGCCACCGTGGCTCTGAAGCGACAGCAGCAGTCACACTCGCCTCCTGTCAGCCCGGTGGAGGAGGACCTGTACTACGAGCCAGAGCAGGGGCACGAAGCGGTGGAGGAGGACGAGATTTATGAGGATATTAGCTGGCCGTCGGCGGGGCGACCGCAAGCGACAGACGCTGCGCTGCCGACTGGCGGTCCCGCGGTAGAGGTCGAGGAGGATGAAATATACGACACGGTCGGGTCACCGTCGGGCATGCCACCGGAGCCGGACTGGCTGGCCCCGGTGCTGCCGCCGCCACCCCTCCGATCGACACTGGGCAGGACAAGAGCCCTGCCGGCGCTCCCCAGTGAGACGACGGCAGCACCCCGGTCACCGCCGCCGCCACCTCTGCCGGACCGAGCACCGCTGGCGCCGCCCGGACAGCCGCCGCCGCCGCCCCCGCCCGGACAGCCGCCGCCCCCGCCACCTCAGAGGGACGGACGGGGACGGGCCGGCTCCGTCCCAGCCGTACCGACCCTCCCACCGCAGCTGCCTCCGCCACCGCTGCCACAGAGGGTCCCGGACACTGCGCGCGTGCCATCCCCAGCAGCAGATGTCATAGAAGAGGAGCTGTATGATGAGCTGGGGGATACGTCAGTTCACCCCGCCCTGGCACCGCCGTCCGACCCGTTTTACAATGTGCTGGAGTCGGAGTACTTGCAACCGCCGTGTCATCCCAGTCCTCTCCCGGTCAAAACGCCCGAGGAAGCGCCTGATGAGGGGTACGGCAACTCATCAGGTGGATCAGAGAATGACTGTCATCCCCCACAGGAGAGCCACTACAAGACACTACCCAAACAGGTGCGGCCCTTCCGACCGCCGGGCACCACGACGCCAGAGACACCTACCGTGGAAAACGGGAACACTCAGCCGCCCCAGCCGCCCTCTACAACCACCGACGGACCGACACGACCCACGAAGCTGCCTCTTGGGTCGCGGCCGCGCGCCGGTACCGCCGGAGCTGTGAGCGGTTCAGGGAGCGTAGCCGACGTCATCCGGCGGCTGAATCGACAGTCGACCGGTGACGATGAGCCCGCACCCTCTGCGGGCCGGCCCGGACCGCGGCCGACGAATATACCCGTCAGCGCCGAACTGGCCCGAAAACAGGCGCTGATTGCCGGCGGCGTGCGAGCGCTGAGTCCCGTCGGTAGGCCGGCAGCGCCGCCGGCCAAGCCCGCCGGGTCGCCAGCCAAACCCGCCGTGCTGGCGCCCAAACCGACCGCGGCTGCCGGCAAGCCGAAGCCGAAGCCGGCGCTGCCGGTACGCCAGGACGCCCGGTCGGCGGGCTACGGGAGGACTGGAGCCGGCGGAGAGTCCCGGCCCGGCCCCGGCCTCGTGCCCAACAAGTCGGGCGTGTACAAAACGCTGCAGCGGATGTCCGATTCGGAGAGTCGGCCGGCAGGACGCCCGGCCCAGGGGGCGGACGGGATCCACGCTGCGCCCTCCAGTCCAGAAGAAGGTAAGATATTCACGCACATATTGAGACTGGTCACTGCCTGATAGACAAGGTCTTGTAAGCGGTAGGGGAATTGAGAGCACATGAAATAATTTTTGTTATAGCACTGTCACTGTCAAATGGCGAGGTGGCATGCAAGTATTCGGCTTAGTTTTGTATTCGTTCGTCATTCAGATGTTCGTTATAGTTCATAAGTTTTGTTCTCGCAGCTGTGTGATAGCTTATTGGGAGCCACTGCGGCCGACCCGTGGATAACTATGAATATCTTACCGTGAGTCGCCGATTCCTTTGAAGACCAGCTTGTCCTCTTTGCAGATGAAGTGTACGCCGAAATAGACGATGACAGCTGGCGGACCTGAGACCGATCAGTCACCGGGTGTCAGCTGTCACGCGCCAGTCATCAGTCGCCCAGTCGCTGGGCCCTCGCCAGTCACACCGATCGAGCTTTACCGCGCCGCCGCCAGTGGCGCCACCGCCGCGCCGAACCAAAGACGCCGTGATCACCGCGAGCTTCGCGAGGCGCCTGGTCGCGCGCCCCGCTGCCTGCCATGTACTCGTCTTACGCGAGGCGGACTCAAACTCGTCACTGTTCGTCTCCTTCATATATTCATATATTATATTTTCAGAAATAAACACGCTACTGAGTTAAATCGTCTACTTTTTACAATGGCAGAGGATCAGTGTGCGGTCGGAAGGGCGCACGCGCGCGCAGCCGTCCAAGGCAGATTTGGCAGAGGCTGCCGACGGCACGGCGCGCCGGCGCAACACTGACCTGAGATTTGACACACGGCCCGCAGTCACTCGCGCGCGCACACACATATATTGTCAGCTCTACGTAAAGCCCTTTGTAAACAATGGATGTAACAAACTGACAGCAACATGATTGTGAATGCACTTTGTGGCACAATGCGACAACAGGGGCGCCGGCATCACGAAACGCCGACGCCGATACACCGCTACATCCCCGCTCTTCTTAACAACAGTAAGGCAACCGGCACAGCTACCGAATCTCAGTATTGCAGTTGTCTCCCTCTCTCTTATCTACGTGAGCATTGCATTTTGATTTAGACCTCGACCCCAAACTCTCGATCCACCACATAGGTGAACCTCTTCTGCTCCTGTCCGCCGGGGCAGACCTCACTACCCGCGGTGGTCCGCACGGTTGGCGCCGACGGCTCGTCCCTCCTCCAGGCCTCCTCCAGCTGCTGGAGCACGCGCTCGGAGGAGAGCACTCCCAGCGCGGCGGGCGGCGCGGCGCCGCGCGTCAGAGTCGACCGGCCCGACTCGACGCTCCCCTCCTCATCCTCGTCTGCCGCACTGGCGCCGCAGTCGTACGGACAGGCGGCGCCGCGCTTGAGCGTGCTCCGGTTGCTCGGTGGCTCCGTGTCGGTGTCGGCGCCGTCCGAAGAGCAGCGCTCCTCCGTGACGGCCACCGGGCACGTCGGAGCCGTCTGGATGAAAAAGTACATCCGCTCCCTGCGGGGGAAGGTGGATGGATGTTAGGCGGTGCGCATACAATGCCGAGTTCAGAGTGACAACAGGGGCATCATTTAGAGTACAGGTGACCAATGACCATACCATGAGATATCGTCACAGACAGACACAGGGCGATGAGCGCTCAAGAGTCAGGACCTTGCATCAGCTTGAGCTTACAAAATACTAAGTAACGAGTGAGAAATATGTCGTTCTCATAAGTCAGGTGAATGACACTTCATTTGAACAAGTGAATGACGATCTCGATCAGTCGAATGGGTATAAAAAACTGCAGGATATGTAATATATCACTTCAAAAGCTGATGAGTGTATTGCGCACGTCATCTTGGTAGACACTCACTTGAATGCTTCCATGTCGGGTTTTCCGGGCGTGGTGGACTTGCTCCTCCTCAGTTTGTAGACGTCCTTGGAGGTTTTCCTCAGCAGTTTCTCGACCCTCTTGTCCTCGGGTGTCTGAGGGGCCTCCCGCGGGCTGGTTCGCTCCAACTGCAGGGACAGAGGTCAGGGTCAGTAAAGGTCACAACGGGTCACAGGAGGGTCACAATAGTTCAGCAATAAAAGTGAGGGATAAATAAACAGGCTGTTTCAGCACTGAGCATGCTGATTGCTTATCTATTCAATCGATTTCTTAATTTCCCGACCAGCACGGATCAGTCACGTGCGGGAAGAGGCGAGTCATGTTCAATGTATGTTGGTGAATATCGAATAAAATAACAGAACCACTTTCAGCAGAACGCGTCTTGTGAAAACCTCACCGCAGAGCACATTACATAACAGGAGCACAATGCATAGCTGCGCAATGCATAGCTGCAGTGCAGCTGCGCAATAACTATCGGAAATGGGAAATCCCATGTCTATCCCCCTCCCCTATCTCTACGTGAAACCCGTTGCACTATTATGCTCCCTCCACCCATCCGGTGACCAGGGTCCCACCAAACCACCTCCAGTGTCTGCTCCTTACCTCACGTATGACGGCCGCCACGAAGTCGCCTTCCTTCAGTTTCTCGGGCGCTTCCTTCACCTCCTCCAGCTTTCCCTTCAGCGTGCGCAGCATCCCGATCTCCTCGTGCATGTTCTGCAGCTTCAGCTGCTGCGCCTGGGGAGGTGGACAAATAAAGTCAGAAACGGCAAGCACTAGCGCCCGAGCTCATGCCTCAATATAGTCTATCGTCGGGTATAACAATTAACAACACACCCAGAAAAAAGTGAGTCGATGAGAAAGTACAATCAGTCTTTTAGTTGATTTAAAGTGCATTCTGCTGGTTCGCTTTTTAACAAGACTGTAGCAAGTTCTATTTATGAGTCACGCAAACAGTACTCAGATCCCATCAAACCACTCCTCTGACCTAACACAACAAAGCTATACCAAAAACCATCCATTACACTGCAACCGAGGTGACCGGACTGACCTTGAGGTCGAGCTCCAGGTCGAGTGACGTCCTGCTACGCAGTCGCACAGACTGGGTGCGCCGGTGGGCGGCCGCAGACGGCGGCGTGGTCTGCGGCGCCAGCTTCCAGCGCAGCGAGCGACGCTCGGCGGCACCCCGCAGGAAGCTGCCCCCGCGACGCACCGTCGGAATGGCAGAGTCCGAGTCGGAGCGGTTCAGCCGACATACGTACTGTGAGGGGACAGAGAGGGGAGGTTAGAATGGGGCAAACACACTGGAAATGAGAGGGAAGAAAGGCCACACAGCCGACACAGGTACTGTGAATGGGGAGAAGTCGAGGGGTCAGATACAGAACATACGCAGTTTAAAGGGGTGAGGTAAGACATGGACACCCGCATTGAAAACGGAAGAGACTAGGGTAGGATCCATGAGGACAAGTTATAAAGGAACTGAAAGTAGTGCCAAAAGTAGTGTCTAAGACTACTGTGAGAAGCAAGAACAGGCAGCAACGTCAGTACGTCTGCATATCAATGACGCCAAATCGCGGAAAAGCAAAATATGAAGGGGCGCAATGTTTACACATTACTTCTGTAGTGAAAGGTCTGCAACACACGATTTGATAATGACACGATCATATGCAGGCACGCGCATGCATACTGATATGCAATGAGTTTGTACGCATATTCATGAATTTGTTGGCTATGCATGATCACGTTTTATGCAGAGATGACCATGCATGTTGCATGGTCATCATGTTCGATGACAAATCGTTCGAAAAACCTCGATACAATGTCACAACCTATCAATATTTCATGTTTTCTTACACTTACAGAAACATGCATATAGGTCACCACACAAACACAGCATAAGCCCCCGCCCCCTCCCCCAGCATCAGCCACCACCCCACGCTCACCACTCTCACACCGGCTCTCACCTGGTTCTTACTGACGGCCGCGCTCGGTGAGAACGTCTGCGAGCGTTTGACGGTGGGCGTCTTGGGCCGGGCGCCGCCGCAACCGGCCAGGGACGGTGTGCGCAGGGAGCGGTCCGGACCGAACACACACTCTGTGTTGGTACCCTTGTCCTCTGTTTCCGCGGAGAGAGCCATGCCGCTGTCAAGCAGCGACTGAGGGGAGAGAGGGGCGGGTGAGTGAGTGAGTGAGTGAGTGAGTGAGTGAGTGAGTGAGTGAGTGAGTGAGTGAGGTGAGAGGCTGTGAGAGGGATGGGAGGTGACTGCCGTCGATGCAAGTGAGCCTGCTATGAAATGGTCAAGGCCAGGCCAAGAGGCTGTCAGTCGGACGCATACCTACGGAACTAAATACGGCGAATATATTGCACAAGTGACAAAGCTCGCACGGACTTCTTCCATTGCATATGTACCCCAATGAATCAAACATCAGTGAGACTGTTGCGATGCGCCCCACTCACAAGTCACCCCCCCCCCCCCCGCATTCCCTCGCGCATCAAGCACGCTCCCTCCGCTCACCATTTCCTCCAAGGGCGAATAGTCCTCGGGAGGGCCCGTCATAGTTGAGGCTCGGGAGTCGTGAGGCGCCTCATCCCGCGAGCTGGCTGCGGCTGCCGCTGCCGCCTCCAACACGTCAGATCTGGTGGGGAGGGGCCGGGGGAGTGTCAGACAGACTGATCGACGCCAGAGAGAGGGGGGCAGAGATATGCGCCGCATATGCACATTCCACAGAAAGTGGGGCAACCGAATTGCGGAACGAGCTTGTAGCTGCATCGAACCATGCAAATAATGCTTATCTGAAAGCTGTCCCAAAAATGCAGAAAATTCTCCTGATCGAGAGATATACGTATACATTGACGTTAGCGGAAGAGTGAATACTGAATGCCATGCATTTCTGTGTTAACGTATGTTTACTCTATAGCACAGTGAATTCCGTTCTGGCGGTATGTCAGGGGGCCCTGACATGCCCCCCGCTGCCCCTCGACCCTAGGCGCCGCGAAACTCACCCGAAGTGGAAGTGGGCGGCTGCCGGCGGGTCCGACATCGACATCACGTTATACCACTTCAGTGAGGTGTCGCTGGCACTGAACTCGGCCAGACTGACCTGGGTGCTTCCCTGCAGACGACCGGAGTGATTCAACTGGTCAGTACAAGCACACATAATGAATGAGCAGTAACTTGAGGGTCATCACATTGGAGGCCATCAGAGGCCTGTTTCACTAAAAACTTGCAATTACAAGTGTTTGTAGTTTACAATTCATAGGTATTTTTACCAACTACGTAAAAACCGATTTCACTAAGCTTCATCGCCAGTAGCACCTCCGATAAGAAAATGTTTGCAAATAAACTTGTAAACAGTAAAATTGTTTTTAATCAAGAACTATAGCATGTTAAAGATATTGCTTCTTTTTATCAAATTTTGTCTAGTATTCATGTCAAAAGCTGTCTAATTAAATTATTAATAATGATGCTGTTGGTAAAGATATGAATGATAGTTCACATTATCCTTTTATTGGAAGAAAATAACACGCAAAACATTTGACAGCAGAAGACTGTTGAATGCAATTATGGCGCGCCAATGACAAAACATGACGATATTTTAATACCGATTATTTTGCTTCTTAGGGTGTGTGAAAAGTAAAGGAAGAGCATGAAACGATTCAACAAAGCATAGTTGTTCAAAATATATGACTGTTTTGCATTATTGCACAAAAAGTATCAAAATTCCGAACGTCAGGACCACTGGAATTTCAGGTTTGTAATTACGATGTTTTCTTTCAAGCTTCTGGTCTTCGTGAAACAGAAAGTTTGCGATTCCCATGTTTTCTAGCAAACTTTTTCTTGTAAAAAAGTTTGCAAATTTTCAACTCAAAATTCATGTTCAAAGGTTTCGTGAAACCCAAATCTCAAATGTTGGTAATTATTTCTTGTAAACTCAAGCTTTTTCTTTGTAATTTCAAGTTTTATTTGTTAGTGAAACAGGCCTCAGAAAGAAACACACGAAATGCACTCTGGACTTAAAAATGACAATACTTGTCACTATCGACTGCTGCTTAAGGTGTATGATCTTGAGAAGCGCAATATTAGTTTTAACAAAAACTAATAACTAATATTGTTAGTCGCAATAGTTTTGAACATTTAACATGACACAAAGCCCAGCTGCCCAGCTGCGTTTAGTCGATGGTTTAGTCAATAACCCACAACAGAAGTCACCAGACCGACCCCGCCCGGGCCACTCACCAAGCAGATGTCATCCGCCTCCTCCTCGGCCGTCCAGACGTTGATTTTGAGCGACTTTGAGACGAGTCTGTCCGGCTGAATGGGAAACGGGAACACCTCGCCGAACGTGGGCCTCTCCAGCTCCGTCACAGGGTGGGTGCGACACGCGAAGAAGCCGGCAGGAGGGTTGGGCAACAGCGCCACCTTCACGTATCTGAAGGGGAGAGATCAGGGGTTACTGGGTTTGTTTAGGAGGTGACGGGCGAGACGATGTCCGAGGTTCACACAGAAAATGACAAGGCGTGTCGAATAAGCCCAGGATGTAAGATTGCACATAATGTTGTAGGTATACTGCACCACCCCAGGACCCCCTCCCCCCTGCAACACCCCAGTGCTCCTCCGCATCTCTTAGAATTCTGCCCCATTCCGCTACTCCCACCTCTGTTCCCATCCCAGCTATTCTCACTCCTCTCTCCCCTCTGCCCCGCCTCGGGTACTCACACAGGCAGGCCTTCCGGCACGGAGAGCGCCGAAAGGTTCCGAGCTCGCTCGATGCCCACGTAGAGAACTCCATCGGCCAGCGCGTAGCGCAGCCGGACCTGCAGTTGGGCAGTCTCCAGACTGGCCAGTAGGCGGCGGCTGCACGCCTCGAACACACCCGAGTCTCCGGCCACGGACTCGTTGCTGACCGCCGCTGAGACGGGTCGCTCGCCGGCCACGGCCGCGTCCAGTTCGGCCTCCAGGATCGGCGAGAGGGGCGGCTCGGGCCCACCGACGGCGCCCGCCGAGTCGGCGCGCTCGTAGGCGGGCGGAGGTGCCGCCTCGAACGGTGAGACGGGCGGCGAGACGGACTCGAGAGAGGAGCGGGGAGACAGAGACGCCGGCTGCAGCTCGCCGTCACTGGCGTGCAGGAGACGTTCCACCCGCCGCTGCAGGTCCACCATGTCTACTCCGGAGCCGCCGCCACCGCCCCCGCCGCCTCCGCCACCGCCGCCCGCGGGCTCGGCGTACTGGGGCAGGCCGTAGATATCGGTGAAGCTGAGGCTGGACAGACTGCTGGCGTGGCTGCTGAGGCTGCCCAGACTGCTACTGCTGCTGATGCTGAGACTGCTGGCTGAGCTGCGCAGCTGTGTCTCTAACTGAACCATGCGCGTCATGGCGTCTCGCAGGCCCGCCAAGAGTGATTGCCGGTCCTCGTATAGTCGTAACCTGACGAGCACCGATGGTATGGGTCAGACAAAACACGAGGACACGAAGCGGCAACACGGACCGGATCTCGCCACACGGACCTGCCCACCCCAAACCGAGTCGTACTGCGCAGTTCGCGTTGCATGGGAAACCCTTCACCGGCTGAAGATAATCGCATCAGACAATCTGTGAAAACGAGTTGTGAAGCCACGCGGCGTATCCGAGGTGAAATATCCCTGCATGCAGGCACCATGACAGTAGATGGACCGATTGAAGGTAGCCGCAGTGTCCGGCGAACTCAAGAGACAGTGGCTCTGAGGGCGGGAGACTCAGCACTCACCGGTCGGCAATGATAGTATTGGACATTTCCATCGCCTCTTGTATGTCGATCTGCAGTCGGTAGATGCGACTCTGGATCGAGTCAGCCTCGTCTCCGGACCGCTGGCTCGCTGCCACCCGCTGCAGTTCCCTCAGGTACTGTTCCTTCTCCTGGATCAGCAGCAACCTGCCGGCAAGGCGAGCATAAGTGTCAAGAAAATGCCCTCGGGAAAAACAAGAGTATATAAGGATGGGGTATCGAGGCGGTTGGCTGTTGTAACGAATACATCACAATTCAAAGTTCCAAACATAAAAGGTCAGGTCAGGGTCACTGGTCAAACATTTTAGCGCAATATTATGTCTGGCGGTCTTATGCATTCAGCGGTCAAAGGCCATCCCCTACCCAGCTCACCAAATATAACCATCCAAACCGTAACAGACAAAGCTGTACCGACGATCAAGCCCACAAGCCCGTTTCCAGGCATTCCCGTCCCATCGCCGTCCTCACCCATCAACAGCGCACCCCTACGCGCTGCAACCATGCACATTGCACATTGCACAGTACAACTGTGTACCTACATTGCACACCCATGGCCACGCCAACGGCATGCCCCCCCCTCCCCCCAGTTGGAGCCCTCCCCGCGGCCCGACGCCGGAGCGGCACAGGGCACTCAGCTATCTAGTGCCGACATCGGGGCCGTGTGCAGTTGTGCACGCGGTCCGGGAAACGCCAGCCGATGGCTCTGCACGCTCCGACTGACGGACGGAATGTCAGCTCGGACTGGGTCGGGCCGCGCGGCGGCCGGCGGTGACTGTCGGGCTGACGGAGGCGGCGACTCACTGTCGCCAGTTCCGGACTACCAGTCGAGCATTTCCTGGCGACGGCTGGACACCGCCGCTGTGGCGCCAGCTCGCTCCAGCGCCGATGTGACGCTGACGCCGCCACACTCCCACCGCGTCTGCCCCCACCACCAGCCGTTCTTCCTGATTGTCCAGCTAAGCTAAGCCTTCTCCCCGTCCCTGCTTTTTCAGCCATTACTCCAATATGCCAGCTCTTCTGTGTCTCGCTGTGCCTATTCCACGAATTCGGTCAGGTCCCGTCTCCAATTTTATACCCTGTACTAGTATCCGACCCTCTGCCACTTTACTGCTAGCACCCTGCCCCTCTCACTCTCCGTTTCCCTGGCTTCCCGTCATTCGTATTCTCACCTATCCTTGTCCGATTCGGTTTGTTCGGGCTGCAGTCGATCCTCAATGTCGGCCAGCTGGTGCTGTATCGCCTGGACCTGCTTCCTTGACTCCTCATACTGAAGTCGCAGCCGGGCGACGTCGGCCAGCCGGGCCCCGATTGGTCGTACCTGGGGAGACAGGTCAGGTCGGGTCAGGTCGGAGGTCACAGTCACAGGTCAGCGGCCACGGGTCACAAGTCATGTTAGATCGCCAATCGACTAGAGTCAAAGGTAGTGTAGGGCCAGATGCGACATAAAGCGAGCTTCGTCACAGGTTATTACGAAAGTTTCATCAAGCATGGACCCAAACAATTAACAAGATGTTACAGCCGACATAGCAAAGTGACACTGTATACAAGACGGTTAATAATTAGGAAACATCTTTCCTCTTCTTTGAACAGCTCTCTCACTAAAGCAGGGATCCCAGCACAAGAGCTATCTTCCTGCCCCATGATTATTAGCTCATCCTACCACGCCAACAATCGCCCGCACTCACATCACTGGACAGATCTGTCTGTGAGGCGATGCTCAGTTTCTGCGAGGCCGCCAGCCCGTAGGCGACATCCTCGGGCGCGGAGCCGTCCGCCGCCGGCTGTAGCCGCTGCAGCTCGTGACGCAGCTGCGACAGACACTGCAGCAGCTGCTGCTTCTCCCGTTCGCCAGAGGTCAGAGACCGGTCGATGTTGGTTAGTTCCTCGATGATGGCCTCGGCCTCGGAGACGGTGTAGGGTGAGCGCAGAGAGGTCATCTTCATCTCCACCCTAAGGGGACGGGAGTAAGGGTCAGATGAGGTCAGGAGTGGGGTCAAGGCCGAAAGCATGGCCGAGGCTGGACGGAGACAGGGTTGGGGTCAAACGGTACAGGTTGGACGGCAGTACAACCGGGTTTTGAAAGAGACTGTTCCTTGGTTAGACGAGGGCTCACACGCGTGTCGCTTAGCGGGGAGGACAGGGCTCATCTCAAAGCTATATTAAAATCGCAAAAGGAAGACATGAGAAAGGAACAAGAAACCTTAAAAAAACGAGAGCAAAGGAAAATGGCCGGAGAAAGAGAACATCTAAGAATGTGGAGGAAGCGATAAGGTAGGGAACGACATCCAAAGGCACCACAGAAGGCGAGGGGGCACAGCGCGGGCCGCCCGGCCAACATCAACAGGCATCAAAGGGCGCGGCGGCGGCCGGCGTTCGGTACACGGCCGCTGCCACGCCACCCCCACCCCGTCCCCGGGCCGGGGCGGCGCGGCGCTGTGTTTGGACAACGGGGCCTGCCAGCAGCCGGCGCCGCATTCCTTCTCAGAGGAATCCGGCTGGCCCCTCCCCAGCCCTCGCGGGGGAGGGGGCCTCCCGCGAATACACAGGCCAGACTGAGCGGCGTCAGTCGGCGGCCCCCCGACCGACTCCAGAGGACAGCAATGGTGACACGTTCAAAATGGCTACAACAAGCAGCAGGGAAATACTAGCTGCTGTTCTTCGTTTCAGACGCAATGTAAATGAGTGGGTCATCCCAGGAATTTGAAATAAATATAAAACCAATGTTGTAATTGGTGCCCCTTGCCAAACATTCCTTACACGAGACCTTGGTGTTGCCAAAGACACCACAAATTACTCGGTGAACTACCCAGACAATCTCAGTCTCATGCCAGTCATCAGCATACACGAAGAGTCAACCGCATTCTCAAACAACCCCTACCCCGGAACAAACCCATCAGAGTTCCTCCACACCTAGGGAATACCCACAAGAGCCCCTCAGATCCCAGGACAGTCCCCGTTTCTCCTCGCCACTCACTGTGCCAGCGTCTCGACCCCGCGCTCTCTGAAGGCCATCTCTGTCCTCATCCTCTCGAGCTCGAGCCGCAGTGACTGGACCCGTCCCCGGGCCGCCGCCACGTCTCCCTTCAGCGACTCGGGGTCGTACCGCGTGCCCACGCTGCCTTGACTCGAGTGCGAGTATACTGAAATGCACAAAGAAATCCAAAGGTCAGAGTCGGAGGCGATGTGATACGGGGTAGCTGGCAAGCCGCACGTTATATTAGCAGAGCGGCAAGGAAAGGTGTCACCAGAAGAGGAGGCGTGACACAGTGACACAATATGGCTTGGCTCGCAGATTGACACATAGGGTGGCAGCAATCAGCATGGCATCACATACGGTTTATACACCATACAGACAGGAATCCGTGCCACTCCACTTACACTGGCGGCAGCCAAGCGGCTGCGGCTAGGACGGCATATGGGACGACACAAACTCAGTCACAGCCAATGATAGGACATGCCGTTCATCAGCAAAACTCACCGCTCGTCTTTGAGGCGCTCAGGTTGGTCATGGCGTTGTTGAGATGTAGGTACTCCTCCTGCAGGATCTTGAGCCGCTCCTGCTTCAGGTTGAAGATCTCCCGCTTCGCCTCCAGGTGCTCCTGAGCGGTCACCAGGTAGTCTTTGAGCATGGACTCCTGCATCCGCCGCCACTCCTCGCGCGGGTCCTCGATCTGGGTGCTCTCTGACGGACGGAGGGGGAGGGGCAGGGGGTCAGTGGAGCGGGGTGATGTCACTGCCGCGCTATGCGAATTCCGAGCGATGCACTGCTCCGCCTGGCGCCCGGCCAGCAAAAACAACGCATTCAAGAATAACACACCCACATTGATAAACTTATCCCCGTTATTCTGATGATAGTCCACAAGCATGATCCATTTGTAATACATGCAGTGATATTGACTGCAGACCGATGTATTTTTTGGGGGGATGGGAAAGAGGAATTTCAAACAAGTGCTTAGCAAAACTTGCGTCTGACATCGCCACGCTTGAGCCTCATCGACAAAGGAAACACTCCTAGAGCAAACACGAAGTGAGAAGTACGACGGAGCGTCGCGACACTATGAAATGATGAGCTTGACGCAGTATAAAAAAAATGCAGGTTGGTTCGATTGGAGCTGCGATGTCATGCCTCTCATGGTTGCTGGTTGCATGTGTATGTAAACGATAAAGACATTGAGGGCACCGACCTTATGTTTTAGCGCCTCGCTGTGGGCTTTAAATGTAACTGACCATCTCATGCAAATATTTTGCTAGGCCGATAAAAACCTGTAGCCGGTTTCCCCAGTCCCCAATGTTATTTTGATTTCACGCGTTACTTTTCCTCACCACTCCCCTTTCATACGGCATTCCACATAGGCGCTCCATGACCTTGAAGACGATGAGCCGTGCAAACAAAGGACAAGGAATTCAGGAGCCCGTTTAAATGGCCGAGATAGCGGCAACAATCAGCGCTCGCTGTTGAACAGGGTGTGTTTACCTTACAATATCGCACTAAGCCGTGTTTGATGACCTGTCTAGAGTCTACACAGGCGTGAGGCCAGGGACCGGCAGCTGCTGAAGGCAGGGGTGCGCGCCGCGCCGGGCCGGGCCGAGCCAGTTCCCACGGCCTAATTACAGCAACAGGTTGCCTCCGGGAACGAACCCTCCCCTCCCCACTACCCAGCACACCAACCAGCATACACAACAAGCTTCCTGAAGGCAACCCGTGACAATACCCGGCCCACGGGAGCCGCAAACCCGGCCGCGCCGCCGACCCACACATCACGTGACTGTCCAGGGTGTCGAGTGTCGACTGGCTTAACTCCTGTCACGTGATCGGCCGATCTGGCTCAGCGGATCAGCGCCGATCAAACGGCACCGCCGTGGGACTCTGAGCCGGCCGGCCGAGGTGTGGTCACGTGACACAGCCCCACAGCAGAACTCACTGGTCACGTGGTTGACGTAGTAGACGCCGATGTTGTTGTCGTAGGCCTCCTCCCATCCCAGAGGCAGTTCATTGCCCACGCAGTCCGAGAATGACTGGGGTTTTGTGTACCTGAAACAGAGCAGACGGCGGCGTCAGGCACGTGGTTCAATGAGCGATGACCGGGGTGTGGGACGGGGCGGCGTGGCGACAGGGTCCGGTTCGGGACTGCGGACAAAACACAGCCCAGTCGGGCCTAATGGGCTGCTTTGGCGCGACACCTACGGAGCTGCCAGACATACCTACACATACCGGCCGCTGCGGCCGGCGCAAAGACAAAGACCGACGCGCCGGCCGGCCGCTGACAAAGGCGGGCTAAATGACGAAATGACGGGCGTCCGCCGGCCGGCGCCGACTTCCCCGGCCGCCGCCGCCGCCGTCAGCGGCGGCCCTGACTGACAGCGGCGGTCGGTGACGGCTGCCGCCCGTCCGCCGCCGGCCCGAGGAATGTGGCCTTGTACCGCGCTGCCATGTACCAGCCGGTCGGCCGGCCGGCCACTGTGATTTCACTACCAAAATACCCGGACTCCGCGGCCGGCTGGCGGGCAGGCGGGCAGGCGGGCAGGCGGTAATACGGACAGGCGGGCTGCCGCACTGGCGGGAAGGCGGGCAGCGCGCAGGCGGGGAGGCGGGCAGGCAGACTGGCGAGCAGGGGACAGACAGATAGGCGGTCTGCCGCAATGACAAGTAGGCGAGTAGACTGGTAGGCGGGCAGGCGGACAGGCAGGCGGGCAGACATATCAAGCGTCAACAGTCCGAGTTCAGTAGAGCACCGGGTAACTGTAGCACGTTGTGATGACCCCTCCCCGTTCCCGGGCGGTGACTACCCTATGCACTGTGCAGCGTCACAGAGCCGGCGGCTCTGTGGCGGGGACGGGGTGGGGTCTGAGTCACTGGACAGCAAGCATTCAGCAAACCGCACGGAAGGGCTAGTGCCGGTTGCCCACTGAGGACTGAAGTTCACAGTCCCAGTCTGTGATGAATGGTATTTAATGAGGAGTGACGACTGGGGGAGCCTCCATCGAGCGAGCCACAGCAGCGACTCTCACTGTCCTGCTTTGTCCATCAGCGTTACTGTGTACTGTGGACGGTGGACAGCGGACTGTGGAAATGGACGCACCCTCCGCCGCCAGGACTGCACTCTGTGGCGTGTGGAGCACAGCCCGACGGTCGCTCGGGGCGGCTCAGGCCCGGCCCAGCCGTCCGCTCCTCTCTGCGCTGAGCGGGTCGGAATGTGACTGGACCGGCGAGCGGCCCGAGCCAGCAGGACCCGGCCGATCCAGCCAGCGCTGTGCGCCGACTGAGTTCCCCAGTGGACTGAGCGAGAGGAGACACCTGTCCAGCTCTAATCGGCCCATTCTGAGCTACACAAACCAGTGGATAACGAACGTGCCAACCAGCGTACCAGCAGAGGCGACTGCATCTCATCCACAAATGAATGAATTCTGCAAACGCCCGTAAATTCATCCGCCTGCAATGCATGACACTATTGCGTCACATGGCTGATGATTTATCTGGAGGTTATAACACTTAAGTATCATTGATAGTCCCTTCATTTCGTGCTGCCATGAATCATTGGCCGGGCATTCTGCAGCTCGGCGGCAGAGGCGGCGTTGGGTACGGGCTGGACCCGAGGCCGGCAGGCAGGGCCTCGTCTAACATGTTAACTGGGGGGGCAATTGCCTCCCCAGTCGAGCGGATTGCCCCCCCAGTGGCCAACATTTGCCCCCCCAGTCAAAACGTGAACTTCTCACAAAATTACCTTCTCTGCAATGCGTTTTTGTTAGGAGTCTTATACGAATGTAACGACTAACGAGAAACATTAAATTATTTGTTCAAAAACTGCTCATACCCATCACTACGGGAAAAGCCAGAGTTTTGTGATGTATAGAGCCGAGTAGGTACCTACTGTGATTCTGTGATTTTGCTACTGTGATTCAAGTAGCAAATTGTCAATCTCAATTGGCAGCTGACCAGTGACCCAACTCGTGTTTGCGCCCCCCCCCCCCCCCCCCACTCAATCAAACGCACACGGCTCAACATGGATAAGTATGTTTATCAGTGTCTGGTGGGGCAATGTGAGGGGTTAACTCTCGCACTCTCGCCCGTATTGGTGTTTTTCCAGCCGCGAACGTATAGGGAGGAGGGGGGGGGGGGCGTTGGACCTTGCCCCTTGCCGTTTCGCCCCTGATCGAGCTAGAGCTTCGCGGAGAAAACCACCGTGCTGCCCGTCACGAGAGGAAGCCGATGATACCTCATTTTAAGGTCCTAAGCCATCGGTTGACCTTCCAGGTCAGGTCTATGACCCAAAAGTCGGGAAAATCGCGGGACCTGTTACAACGTCGTAAAGGGTGGCTGTTATGTTTTTTTTTTCGGGGTGCTGATCACGAATAGGTAGGTATCATGTCAGTTATGATCATAGATAATGTCTTCATGCATTTAGGCCAGGTCGGGTTAGGTCAGATCAGGTCAACCAGTAAGGGTTTTGCCGGGTATTTGTAGTAGGTGCCAGGTGGCAACCGCCTCTGGCTCTGACAGCTTCGTAACATGTTACGAAGGCACCAAAACTACTTCGTAAACGTTCAAATGGCTGCTTAATTCGAATTCAGCTCCAAAAACTGGCCTAGAATCATGTAAAACTCGAAAAAGTGAACCGAAGTCATCAAAAGTAAATGACCTGACCTGACCTCGCGGTGACCTTGACGCCCACCCTAATGCATGGGAGCAATATCATATCCCATGTTTGAACGCTTAAAACCACGAAAAGACTGCAAACGCGCGGCTAATGCGAGCCGACATACGCCGAATCGCGATTCCGGCCAAACATGGTCTCGAAAAGAAGTCACAGGTCAAAGGTCATTACGGTCAGGGTCATCACATTTTCAGAGTAGGTTAAAATTGACTAACGCGAGGGTACTGAAAGCTTCGTCGCGGTCAGCCGCTTTTACGTGAGTTAGGTATTCGTGAAAAACCGGGGGTCCGTTCGACCCCCCCCCCCTATACGAGCATGGCTTGGATTGCCTTTTTTTTTTGTTTGTTGAAAAAAATCATGGTCTCAGGGCTGTGACGAAAAACAAGTGGCCTAAATCCGGTGAGAAAACTGGATTTGGGGGTACCCTAGGTTTGGGTCCTTCAGTCTCTGCCCCCCCCCAGTGAAAATTCCTTAGACGAGGCCCTGCCGGCAGGACGGGGTTTCGTACCGTTCGGCGACGGCCAGTCGAGCTCGAGACAAGCGGCCTGGCCACCCCCTGACGGCCCCTCGGCGGGCACGGCGGCCGGTCCGGCGTGCCCGCCGTGCTGGCGGATAAGCACGGCACGGTACGGCACGCCACACGGCACGGCAAAGCATGGCTCGACACGCCGCGCGGGAAGCGCCGATACCTGCGCCCTGTGCAGTGTGCATAATGCCTCAGCCGGACCGCGGGGCAAACCCAGTTTCTGTGTAATGCAGCACTCGCAGACAGGCTAGTCTACGATGCTCCAAAGGTCCTCCCTGACCCTGCCGTCGCCTCCGCCTCTGCCACTGCCCGGTTACACCCAGCAAGTCTGACGGAATGTCTGACAGCTGGCCACTGACGGAATGCCAGGTTTCGGCCGTCTCCCGCCGCTCGTCGGGCCGTCGCACCGGCCGCTGCGTCAGCTGCGCCGGCCGGGCGGGCCGGGCGGGCGCGGAGGGCGGGGACGGGCCGGGCGGGGGCGCGGGGCGGCCAGCGACACTGGGCCAGACGGTGGCCGCTGCACGACACCATGGCGAGCGGCGCCGGCCCGCCGAGCGCCACTTCTAATCGCGCCGATCAGGACCTCCAGCCGGCCGTCTTCCATGCACGCGGCGCGGCCGACAGCACCGGCGCGACCGGCGCGTCACTGGGCGACGGAGGACAGGAGGGAAAGGACAGCAAGCCGGGGACTGGTTCAGCATGGAATGAACCCAACAAGCTTGGGAAAAGAAAACAAAACATATGTGTTGGCTTAATCTTAACGTCACAGAGTTTCTGCAAAATTATATGGGTGATTGCTGATCATATTTGGGGCTTGGGCCATATTCTACAATCGAACGTTTACCCAAGGTCACAATCAGTCATGAAATTCGTACCGTTCCACCTAAACAGCGTCTGGGTGGCCCAGAGGTGCAGAGTGGAGCAACTGAGTCACCTTCCTGCACGCGCCGCCAGAGCTGCTGTCCACTCGCCCGTCGGGAGCACGACCTCGAAACAATTCCAATGAATAAAATATTGCCGGCCGATGAGTGTCGGAATGCAGATCCTCGAGCAGGAAATATCCTCCACTCGCCCGTTATCTCCACTGTCATATGCATGCATGCATGCACGGCACGGTAAAGGATGCACGCGCCGACTGGGGGCCAGCAGGGAGGCATATCCTCGCCTCGAGGACAGTGACAGTGGACAGACTAGTTGTGTCGGAAGAGCTATGTTGGACGCAAAATAAGGCGGTGTTTACGTTAGCAGCATGATTCTCGCCACGTTTGCCATCAAGTAAACGCTGTATCAGACTCAGAGTCATGCATTACCTATTTCCCCAGTGTAAAAATCACTGACCATAAGCTTTACAGATGGATCGGTAGCCGTCAGACGCCATAAGAGCCTAGTTGTTAGACCCCGCCCGGCGCCCCTGCACGGGGTCAAAGCGTCCCCACATACGTCCGTGGATTCCCTCCCCTCCAGACCGGGGTCAAAGGACTCCACATCCGGCCGTACGGCTACATTCCCAGCAAAAACAGGGTCAAAGGACCCTCCGCCTAGCCCTGTCCAATGTCCGTTCCCCGTTCCAACGCGGGGTCAAAGGGCCCTACAACCAGCTTCAGCCCCCGTCCCCAACCACATACAATTACACACAGTCTCCACTTCAATGACAAGGCCAGGATCAAACGGTGATGCACCCGTCCGCCTGCGTTCGGCCTACGAGTGATATAGGGATAAAGTATCTTAATTCTGAGGTGCAGTTGACACACAGACCGTGTATCACCCGCGTCCCGCATACCAAGTCTACACAGAGCACGTCTGCCATGCCGCCTGCACAGAACGGTGTTCTACCACGGGTCTGGCAGAGAACCC